GATGGGTCCGGCAGAGTTTGCCGACTCAAGAAATCAATCTATGGGCTAAAGCAAGCTCGAAGGCAGTGGTACCTCAAGTTTGATGAGGCGCTGATGGATTTTGGGTTTGAGAGGTCGGAGTGTGACCCCGCCTTGTACCACTTGGTGAGGCATGAGGGCAGGCTGTCCCTTTACCTCTATGTGGATGACATTCTGCTCATGTCTTCGAGCATGGTCTTGCTGGACGATGTGAAGGGTCTCTTGTCCTCTCGGTTCCGCATGAAGGACTTGGGGGAGGCCAAGTACTATTTGGGGGTGCAGATTGAGCGTGATGAGAGTGGCATTCTGATTCATCAAGAGAGGTATATTCTAAACATGCTTGAGTCGTTTGGCCTTTCTGAGGCTAACCCCGTGCGTACCCCTCTCCCTACAGGGTTCGACGTGCATGCACATGCTGAGGAGCCCTTGCTGCGAGATGAGCTGGTCTGGCTCTATCAAAGCATTGTGGGGTCTCTTATGTATGCAAGCACGACCACACAGCCGCAGATTGCTTATGCAGTGTCACAGCTGTCCAAGGTTGTGTCTTGTCCCAAGGCATTTCACCTGTAGGCTGCTAAGAGAGTGCTAGGGTACTTGAAAGGTTGTGTCAAGTCAGGTATCTTCTACCCCGCACACAGCAAGCCTCAGGTCGAGTTGGTGGGCTTTAGTGATGCTGATTATGCTGGAGATTCAGCTGATCGCAAGAGTCACACCGGCTATGTATATTGCCTCAATGGTGCAGCCATCTCTTGGCAGAGCAAGAGGCAGCCAGTGGTTGCATTGTCCACCACTGAGAGTGAGTATATCAGTCTGTGTCAGTGCATTCAGGAGGGTGTGTGGCTAAAGCGTTTGTTTGGGGAGTTTGGGCATGAGTTTGCTGGTGGTGTGCCTGTGTTTGTGGACAATCAGTCTGCCATTGCCCTTGCACAGAATGCATGCTTGCATGGCCGCACCAAGCACATGCAGGTTCGGTGGCATTTCATCAGGGAGATGGTGGCGTGCGGCGAGGTGATCCTCCGGTGGTGTCCCACCAACCGTCAAGCAGCAGATATACTCACCAAACCCCTCCCTTTTGAGCGGCATGGTGTGTGCATGTCCTTGATGGGGATGCAGCCCCATGTCAGCATGGTGCCTGCGCAGGATGTGGGAGGACTGGTGCTTCTCTGCATTGACGACCTCATGCTGTGGATGGCGCCCTTCCCTGGGCAAGGGGGAGTGAAGTGAAGGATTTTGCCCAGTGGTGTTCAGCCACCTCCAGCACGAGCAAGGGGGAGTGTTGATTGTGTAGGTGGTTGTGGTATTTTGCTCTAGCTGGTTGTGGGCTAAGGGTTTGGGCAAAATGTGGTGGTTAGACTTTTTGCGGGCTGGTATTGATCTCGCACCCAACAAGCACCAACAAACCTTTGCTATTCACTACAACACCTTTGGTGTTGCTAGTTTAGCACTTTGGGTTGTTGGGGATTGTTGTAGGGCGAGGGCTGGGCTGGTAGGGTTTGAACAACTCGTCACTTTTCAGATCTGAACTCTTGCTAAAGCCATTTTTCTTGAACTAATCCATGGCTGCCTAGTAATTCCGCCAGGATACACCGTCGCACTTAGATCGCGATAGCGATCGGCCTAGATCTTTGTTGAAAGCGTGCGTTACCATTCTAGAAAGTAGAGATCAAGACCTTTCTAACGCGTACCTGCTCAAAGTTTAAGGTTACGTGAGCTGCACGCAATGATCCGTCGAAGTCGACGGACTTAATCTCTTGTACGCTCTCCAGATTCGCTCGCTTTCCATCATGAACCTCGTCGACGTAGGTGCCTGTGGAATTCCAGGAAGCCATCTCTGCGTCCATGTCTCACTGCCACTGTGAGGAGAAGGGACCCTCAATCGCCTCAGCGTACGATCGAGGAGTCGGGATGTCAAGTGCATCCGGGTCTCCCTCAGGGGCAATCAGCGTGGACACGAGATGGGGCAAAGCAGCAGCAGAACACTGGAACTCCTCCTGCCTGTCCTCAAGGACGTCCGTGCTAAGAGCACACTCACCCCCGACGAACGGAGGATAGACAGACTTAGGCTCAGCAACAAGGATAGCAGCGAAGTCTAGACGACAGCGAGCAGCAAAGTCGACAAGCTCAGCAACTAGGGCCGACGCAGCAGTGGACTCAGATGAAGGGTTAGTGACAACAGTAGCCAGGAGACGCGTAACAGTTAGACTGGCAGCACGCAGAGAGTCACACTCCGGGTCAGCAAGAACAGGAAGAGAGGACTCTGGAGGAGACGGCAATGGGACACGCAGAGGAGCAGTGGAAGGACGCAGTGCCATCTGGTGTGTGCTTGGGACCGCAGGAGGATGCGGACGCGGAGCACGACGACTAGTGCGAGCAGCACGAACAGGCGACGCAGGACGAGACGCAGGCTCACGACGCTCAGCAAGACCTCTAGTAGGACTAGTGTAGGGAGAAGGAGCAGGTAGGGGGGAGGCGGGCTGTAACTGTGACTGCGACTGGACAGGCTGTGGACACTCTAAGGGAGGAGCAGGACCAGTGGAGGGTGGGAGACCAAGAACCTACTCAAGGAGCGGAACGAAGTACGGCCGCGGTCGCGCAGCGCCTCCAGAACCAGCAGAGACAGCACCAGTACTCCCAGCGGTAGCACCAGCGCCAGTAGCACCTCCAGCTCCAACAGCGCCAACTCCAGCACCCTCAGACGCACCAGCGCTAGCAGAACCACCAGCGCCAACACCCCCAGGAGCTCCAGCTCTAGCAGGACCGTCAGCTCCAGTACCGCTAGCAGCTCCAGCAGTACCTCCAGCAAGACCAACTCCAGCAGCCCCAGTAGCACCCTCAGTCCCAGCAGCTCCAGCACCGCCAGTACGAGTACCTCCGGGACCAGCAGCAACAGTAGTACCTCCAGCTCCAGCAGCACGGCTCCAGCGCCGGGCAAACCACTCGCGCAGCTCCTGCGGAGAGAGGGGCTCCCGCCTCGACGAAGCACCGCGAGAGGCTACATGAGCAGACCCAGCACCCCCAGGCTCCGCACCCCCAGGCTCAGCACCCCCAGGCTCAGCACCCCCAGACTCAGCACCCCCAGGCTCCGCACCCCTAGACTCAGCACCCCCAGGCTCCGCACCCTCAGGCTCAGCACCTCCAGACCCGGCACTCGCAGGCTCAGCACCTCTAGCAGCACCAGAGTCAAGAGCTACCTCTACAGGCTCGATTGCGTCTACCTGGGACATACCTGATGGAGCAGGACCCTGAGGAGGGAGGAGGTCAACCGGGGGAGGACCTGGCGCAAGGAAGAGCGGCGGTGGGGGGAGGGGCGCAGTGCGGTAGGGGAAGAGACGGTAGTAAGGCACCGACTCGTCGAAGGTGACGTCCTGCGAGGACAAAACACGGCGCGAGGTGGGGTGGTAGTAAAACTGCCACCCAGGCGCGTTAGAGGGGAAGCCAAGGAAGACGCAGGGAACAGCACGGGGGGACAGCTTGTCCGCACACAAGTCGCGGACAAACGCCCGAGATCCCCAGACCCGAAACTCAGACGCATCGCCAGCCTTCCCCATCCACCGCATGGTGGGGGAGGTCTCTGGCAAGGAGACCCGGGGCTGAAGGTTGAGCTGATGCGCTGCGTACTGAACCACAAACGGCCACAGAAAATGGGGGGCAGCCGCATGGATCATGGACGTACGAGCGACGTCCATGACCATGCCAATGCGGCGCTCAGCAATCCCATTTTGCTGTGGAGAGGCCGGAAGCGTGAAGGTCTGGCGGATGCCCTGTGCTCGACAGAAGGCTCCCAGACGGGCAGAGGAAAACTCCCCGCCTCTGTCAGAGTGCAGACGCAGAACCAGAAAGTCCGAGTCGAAACTCTCTCTGGGCTGGAGACGAGCTGCGCGGATCTAGTCGATCAACACCTCAGTGACGTCACCCTTGCTGCACCAGGGGAAGACTATGGTGTAACGCGAGTAGTCGTCAACCACCAACAGGAAGTAACGCTCGTGCCCCTGGCCACGGACGCGGGCGGGGCCCCACACGTCCATGTGAAGAGTCTGCAGCGGAGCCTCTGTCGGAGGAAACTCGGAGGAGTGAGGGGCGGCGCGCTGTCGCCCCTTGACGTAGGGGACGCAGGTAGGGGCAGGCCCCGGAGGTAGGGGAGGGAGAGACCGGGGGAGACCAAAGACAAGGACACGGGAGGCCATGCCTTTGAGACGAGGCAAGGAGGGGTGACCAAGGCGGTGGTGCCAAAGGAGAGTCTGGTGGGACAGGAGACGACACAAGCAGGGAGCAGACTCAGGACCAGACCTGGACGCTGCAGCAAACACCTGACTCGACGTAGCTACCTGACCAGACTCAGCAGCCGGAGGAGACTCAGTAGTAAGTGTGTACAGGCTCGACCCCGGCCGACGGGTAAACGTGGCCAAGTGTCGGCCTGTCCGAGCACACGTGCAGTGGGTCACCCGCTGACTCGCAGGAATGAACTGGTCAAACCCCCTATCCTGTAGATCAGCTCCACTCACCAAGTTCGTAGAGAACGAGGGGAGGTAGAGACCTGACAGTGTGCCAGAGGGGGCTGCCGGGCACGGTAAGACAGTGGAGAAGCTAGCAAGGACGGGAACCCCAGAGGGGTCTGCCAGGGAGACTGCAACCGGCCGACTAAGCGGCGTAAGCGTGGTGCGGTCTCGAAAGAAGGAGCGGGAAGCACCCGAGTCAAGGGTGAAGGTGTGTAAGGCCTGAGCCGACGTAGTACCTGAGAGAGCACACTCACTAGCACCTGGGGCAGCAGACGCACTAGTAGACACAGCATACATGGCAGCAAGAATAGCATCATGATCAAGATCAAAGATAGCAACCCCAGCCCTAGACAGAACGTCCAAGCGAGGGATCTCAGTGGCGTCAGGGAACTGGTGACGCCACGCGTCCGTCAGACGGCCGAAGCAGCGCTGGGTGGAGTGCGGGGCCCTGCACTGCTCACCAGCGCGGTCTCCGGTACGGAGGACTTAGGTGCAGGGACCAGTACCCCCACCGCGCTGACGTGCAGCGTACCACTCACGAAGCTGCTGAGGGGACAGGGTCTCACGACTGCGCTGCTGCTGCAGGCGCGGACCACCACCGGACCCACTCCTCTGCGCAGAGCCATGACCAGCTCCACCGCTGCCGCCGCCGCCTCCACCACCTCCGCCGCCCCCGCCACCTCCGCCGCCTCCGCCACCTCCGCCGCCTCCGCTCCCTCCGCCACCGCCGCCGCCTCCTCCGCCTCCACTGCTGCCACCGACACCTCCACCCCCGCCACCACTCCCACCACCACCCCCACCCCCTCCACTGCCTCCACCACCACCTCCACCGCCCCCGCCAGCCCCTCTAGCGCCCTTGCCCCCCTTGCCCTTGCCGGTGCGGCGTCTCCCGCTAGGGGTAGACGCAGCGCCGACCGACTCGAAACCAACGAGGTCGGCCGCACCAGCAGAAGCAACAGAGGGCAAGAGGGGGGAAGGGGAGCACCCCTCAAAGACGAGGGTGCGAGGGTCACCACGAGAGGCTCCTACAGCGACTATGCTCTTCTCGGCTGCTAGGAGGCGCTCCTCAAGGAGGTCAACGGTGAGTGTGGTGGGGCAAAGTGAGAGGAAGTGGTCCCTGACTAAGCGAAGGGAGTCAGGGAGCCGGGTGACTATGTAGTAGAGGGTGATGTACATGGGGGGGAGTTCGTGGCGCAGAACTCAGCAGGAAGCGCAGCGCGGTAGCGAGTGTCGCTAGTGTGAAGGTGCGTAATGAGGTCAACGACTGTGGGAAAGGCAGCAAGGTCAGGAAGCAAGTACGGCAGCATGAGGCGGCTAAGCGCAGCAGTGGCAGGGGAAGAGTAGCGTGCAACTACAGCGTCGTACAAGGTCTTAGCACTCTTGTACTGGCTAAAGTGCGCACGCTCTGTGGTCGGTAAGTGGCGACGCACAGCAAGACGGGCAGCAGCATCGCGTGTGGCCCACTGTGAGCGAAGAGTGCTGTCAGCAGTAGTAGGTGGGGCAGGGGAGGCACCAGAGGTGAGATCGAACAGGGAGAGTCCGTCTGCCCTATCGCACTGGAGGAACAGCTGGAGGTCATCGACCCAGACCTCAAAGTCAACAGCACGACCCTCAGCATCAAAGGTAAGGACTCTGGGGGTAGCCATGACTGCAGTGGCCTAGCAGGGAGTGATCTCACCAGTCTGAGTAAGTAGGGCCGGGGTGCGCCGGTAGGAACAGTAGCGGCTCGACGGCAGAGCGGCTCGGCGGCTCAGCTGCTGGGCGGCTCTGCGGCTCGGCTGTTGGGCGACTCGGCTGTCGGTCGGCTCGGCGGCTCGGCTGCTGGGCGGCTCGTTGGCTCGGCGGCTCGGGTGCTGGGCGGCTTGGCGGCTTGGTTGTTGGGCGGCTCGGCTGTCGGGCGGCTCGGCGGCTCGGTTGCTGGGCGGCTCGGCGGCTCGGCAGTTCAGCTCCTGGGCGGCTCGGCGGCTCGACTGGCGGGCGGCTCAGCTGCTGGGCGGCTCGGTAGAGGCGGCGACGGGGCCGGCAGAGGCGGCGATGGGGCCGCTAGGGGCGGCGACGGGGCCGCGTAGGGAGGAGAGTTGTAACGGGGCCGCTAGGGGCGGCTACGGGGCCGCGTGGAGGCGGCGACGGGGCCGCGTAATGGCGGCGACGGGGCCGCGTAGGAAGGGGAGCGGCGACGGGGCCGTTAGGGGCGGCGACGGGGCCGCTAGGGGCGGCGACAGGGCCGCGTAGGGGCGGCGACGGGGCCGCTTAGTGGCGGCGACGGGGCCGCGTAGGAAGGGGAGCGGCGTCGGGGCCGCTAGGGGTGGCGACGGGGCTGCTAGGGGCGGCGACAGGGCCGTGTAGGGGCGGCGACGGGGCCGCGTAGGTAGAGGGGCGGCGACGGGGCCGCTAGGGGCGGCGATGGGGCCGCGTAGGGGCGGCAACGGGGCCGCTAGGGGCGGCGATGGGGCCGCGTAGGGGCGGCAACGGGGCCGCGTAGGGGCGGCGACGAGGCCACGTAGGGAGAGAGGCGGCGACGGGGCCGCTAGGGGCGGTGACGGGGCCGCGTAGGGGCGGCGACGAGGCTGCTAGGGGCCGTGAGGGGCCTGGAAGGGCAGCGAACAAGGCGCGCCTCAGGTAGGAGCAACTGACGCTCCGGTCAGAAAAAAAAAATTCAGTGGTGGGCCCAAGGAAGCGTTCCCACTAGGGAACCTGCTCTATACCATGTGAAGAAACGAGGAATGAATGAACTAGCACAAGGTTGGGTATAAGTAGGAAACCCTAGGAAACTGTACCCCATAGTGTCTACCCCACTATAGCCTAGACAAGCTATATGATATGAGTTTGACACGCTGTTGGCATCCCGTGCAGTCGAACGACGGTGGTGATGAATAGGCGAGCTGTTTTTTCGGCTGTGATTGATTTCTTGCAGGTTGCGAAGTGTGCCATTTTCGTCAGTCGATAAACGACGACCAGGATCGCATCGTTCCCACTCGCATTGGCCGGTAACCTCGTGACGAAGTCCATTGTCACCTGCTACCAAGCACGCTCTGGGGGTGGTATCAGCTGCAACTGTCCTGCCGGCCGCTTCCGTGATGACTTCATGATCTGGCAAGTGGGACATGATGCCACATGTCGTTGAACGTCGATCAACATTTCAAGCCAGTAATAATACCGATGCAGCTGCTGCCGTGTTTTTTCTACCCCCAAATGCCCCAAGGTAACTCCGTCGTGTGCTTCTTGTAACAGTAATTCCCGTAGTAGTGTATACCCTCGTACCCAGATGCAGCCGGTCCCGGCTTTTACGTAATAGACTCCCCTTGCTGCTCCAAACTGCTGCAAATTTCCTCTTGTGAAGAATGGATCCGTTTGGTACCCGTGGGTGAATAGGCCTGTCAGTAGTGGGCTGGTCTGGGCGAGTAGTATTGCGTGTTACAAGTTATGAAACGAAAATGACTAGAAACAGGACAGTACAAGGTTTGTAGAGGCAAAACCTAACAATACTGTACCCCATAAGGAGTGCCCCACTACAGCCTACAGTATAGTTCTGACACACCCCCATAGGCAAAGTGGGGGACAAGCAAGAGAACATGGCAAGGTCAGCTCAGGGTGGATCACGATGTCACCACGCATTCTGAGCACAAATACAAGGCCACAAGGCCAGTTCACATGCAGGGTTATACATCAAGGTGAAAAAACAAGACAGTTATCTCAACCTAGCAATGGTAAGCATGCAGGTGCAAGTATATATAGATCACAGTACAAACAAAGTCAAGAAGTGAGCAAGTGAGGCTAGGTAGGCACAAGACCTAACATAGTACTAAGCCGCTGATGATCACAAGGCTCAAGTGCCTTGGTAAAGATTTCAACAGTGTTGGCCCGAGTGGCCACGTAAGCAAGGCGAAGCTAACCCCGCTGCTGCAACTCTCGACCAAGGAAGTAGCGCAGAGCAATGTGCTTCGTTCTGTGCTCCACTCTGTGCTCTTGATACAAGGCAAGCATGGCCTTGTTGTCGACGTACAGAACTGGAGGAGAACGAGGCGCCTCTCCCAAGTCAATCAGCAGGTAGGTAAGCCAGCGTAACTCCTGTGCGGCCATGGCCCCTGCGTAGATCTCTGCCTCACAACTGGAGCTGAGAATCGAAGACGAGCGGGTAGACCGCCACGAAACAGAGCCGGAACCAAGGCTAAAGGTGTAACCCTGTGACGACCGCTGCGTAGCCAAGTCGTCAACCCAAGAAGCATCTGCGTAACCAGTGAGGACAACTCGAGCCCGTCCTCTTAGCACGAGCCCCATGCCCGACGTACTGCACAAGTAGCGCAACACCCTCTTTGCTGCAGCCATGTGCTCTGGTCGGTGTCTCCCAGGAGCTACATAGCGTGCCAAGATGCTAAGAGGGTATGACAGGTCAGGTTGAGTGCAGGTCATCAGGTACATGAGGCAGCCAACAAGCTCTGGGTATGGGCCACTCGGCTCTACAGACTCATCCAAAGGAGGAGCTGAGAGCGAGTGGCAAATAGACAGAGGAGTGGCCTGAGGCGAGGAGTACGTGAAGTTAAAGCGCTGAAGGACCTGCTGCACCATGTGTGACTGAGTCAAGGTAATGGTGCGCCGTGCTCTGTCCCGGGTGATCTGCAAGCCAAGACAGTTGCGCGGTTCACCCATGTCTGTGCACGTGTGTCTCTTCTGCAGCTCCGACTTCACGTGGGCAAGTCCCTTAGTGTCAGCAGTGGCAAAGACCAAGTCGTCGATGTACACGAGGATGTAGAACGGCGGCAGCGAAGTGTCCGCGCGCAGAAACAGCGACGGGTCAGAAGTAGGAGCAAACCCAAGAGCCGCAAGCGTAGTCATTAGCGTGTCGTGCCACTCAAGGGGCGCCTGGCGGAGACCATAGACCGGCCTCCGGAGGCTCCACTGGGTACCAGTAGGAAACTACCCAGTGAAGCCAGGTGGGCGGCGCAGCCAGATCTCCTCGTGCTGGCTGCCCTGTAGGAAGGTTGTGCTGAAGTCAAGAGAGTGAAGCTCGTAGTCAAGAGAGTGAAGCTCGTAGTCACGCTGAGCGGCAACGTGCAGCAGCACCCGAACAGTGGTCATTTTCGGGGTGGGAGAGAAGGTCTGAAAGTAGTCAACTCCATGCCGCTGATTGAAGCCTCGAGCCATGTACCGCACCTTGAACACAGGCGGAGAACGTGGCGGCCGCTTCACCCTGAAAATCCACATGCCACTGACGATGTTCGCCCCAGGTGGGGGAACCTCGTCGACGTAGGTGCCTGTGGACATCCAGGAAGCCATCTCTGCATCCATGGCTGTCTGCCACTGAGAGGAGTAGGGACCCTTGATCGCCTCAGCGTAAGAGCGCGGGGTCGGGATGTCTGTTGCATCCGGGTCTCCCTCAGGGGCAAGCAGCATGGACACGAGATGAGGTAAAGCAACAGCAAAGCACTAGAACTCCTCCTGCCTGTCCTCAAGGACGTCCGTGCTAAGGGCACACTCACCTCCGACGGACGGAGGACAGACAGACTCATAGTCAGCAACAAGAGTAGCGACGTAGTCTAGACGACAGCGAGCAGCAAAGTCGACAACCTCAGAAACAAGAGCAGACGCAGCAGTAGACTCAAAGGAAGGGTCAGTGACAACAATGGCTAGGAGACGCGTGACAGTAGGACTAGCAGCACAAAGGGAGTCAGACTCCGGGTCTGGATCGAGAGGAAGGGAGGACACAGGAGGAGATGGCAGAGGGACACGTTGTGGAGCAGTGGAACGACGCAGTGCCATCTGGTGCGTGCCAGGGACACGAGGAGGACGCTGACACGAACCACGACAACTAGTGCGAGCAGCACGAACAGGCGACGCAGGACGAGACCCAGGCTCATGACGCTCAGCAAGGCCTCCGGTCGGACCACTGTAAGGAGAAGGAGCAGGCAAAGGGGAGGCGGGCTGTAGCTGTAACTTTGACTGCGATTGCGGCTGGACAGGCAGCGGAGACTCTAAGAACTTGCTTAAGGAGAAGGACCAGTAGAAGGCGGGAGACCAAGAACTTGCTTAAGGAGCGGAACGAAGTACGGCCGCGGCCGCGCAGTGCCTCTAGAACCAGCAGGGACAGCACCAGCACCCCCAGCATCAGGTCCAACTCCTGCAGTACCACCAGCTCCAGCAGCACCTCCAGCAGCTCCAGTAGCGCCAACTCCAGCACCCTAAGGAGCATCAGCTCCGCACGCTCAGACTCAGAACCCCTAGGCTCCGCACGCTCAGACTCAGCACCCCCAGACCGGGCACCCGCAGGCTCAGCACCCCTAGCTGCACCAGAATCAACAGCTACATCGACAGACTCGACCGCGTCTACCTGGGACACACCTGAGGGGGCAGGACCCTAAGGGGGAAGGGGATCTACCGGAGGAGGACCTGGCGCGAGGAAGAGCGGCGGGGGGGGGGGGGAGGGGGGCAGTGCGGTAGGGGAAGAGACGGTAGTAAGGAACCGACTCGTCAAACGTGACGTCCTGAGAGGGCAAAACATGGCGCGAGGTGGGGTGGTAAAACTGCTAGCCAGGCGCGTAAGGGGGGAAGGCAAGGAAGACGCAGGGAACAGCACGGGAGGACAGCTTGTCCGCAGACAAGTCGCGGACGAAAGCTCGAGATCCCCAGACACGGAATGCAGACGCATCGC